TCATCTGTTTGCTGCATCCAAAGGGCCCGCACCAGTGGTGAGCCAGGCTGCCCTGGAATCACTGGAGATGCCAGTAACAAGGCATCACTTCTAAGAAAGGCGTTGGAGGACAAGATTGGGAATTCTGTTTTAATCATCCCTGTCACAGATCTGGCTTTCTGAATGGTTGGTTTCAGGAGCAGAGAAAAGGGCAAGTCAAAATGGTTTGTAACTATCTTAAGGGGGAAAACCACAGCTATGGTGATGGCTAGTACAGCATATTCCAAACACAGCTATTTTATTCGGCCTTTTCTTGTTTCTCCAGTTTTACAGAAATACTCATTTGTAAACCAAGTCACAAAATCATAGAATCAGAGGGCTGGAAGAGACCTCAGGAGTCATCGAGACCAGCCCCCTGCACAAAGCAGGACCAACCTCAACTAAATCATCCCAGTCAGGATTTTGACAAGCTAGGACTTAAAAACCTCTAGGGATAGAGATTCCACCACCTCTCTAGTTACCCCTTTCCAGTGCTTCACCACCCTCCTAGTGAAATAGTTTTCCCTAATATCCAACCTAGACCTCTCCCACTACAACTTTGACCCCTTGCTCCTCGTTTTGCCATCTGTCACCACTAAGAACAGCCTCTCTCCATCCTCTTTGAAACCTCATTTCAGGTAGTTAAAGGTTGCTATCAAATCCCCCCCCCACACTCTTCTCTTCTGCAGACTAAACAAACCCAAATCCCTCAGCCTCTCCTCGTAGGTCATGCTCCAGCCCCCTCATCATTCTGGTTGCCCTCCCCTGGACCCTCTCCAAAGTGTCCACATCCTTTCTGTAATGGGGGGCCTAGAACTGGCCCCAATACTCTCGATGTGGCCTCACAATCACTTCTCTAGATCTGTTGGCAATGCTCCTCCTAATGCACCCTAATATGCCATTAGCCTTCTTGGCTACAAGGGCACACTGTTGACTCAGATCCAGCTTCTCATCCACTGTGATCCCAGGTCTTTTTCTGCTAAACTGCTCCTTAGCCAGTAGATCCCCAGCATGTAACAATGCTTGGGATTCTTCTGTCCCACATGCAGAACTCTGCGCTTGTCCTTGTTGAACCTCATCACTACATCTCATCGCAAAGCAGGGTAAATCAGCACTTTCAAAATGGTCTTAAATGACTGAGAAATAATTAGCTGGTCTGACATGCTTTCAGTCTTCAAAGCACATTAAATATTGATGAATTTTTATGGCCCCCCTTTGATGTCAGTATTATTATACCCATTTTACAGGTGTGGAAACTGATGCAAACCAAGGGGAAGTGACTTGCTCAAGGTTGCAGTGGGAATTTAGTCCCAGTGCTGGGATTAAAACTCAGGAGTACCTCGCTTGTAGTACGGTGCTCAGGGAACACCTCTTTCTATTTTGTTATCACAATGATAATTAAGGCTATAATTCCCTTATGGAGGGCATGGATTCCATGATTTGGAGAGAGGCCTGTGAATTCGGCCTTCAGCCCCAGGGGGCTCGGTCTTTGACGTCATCCCTGGGCAACAAGGCTTGGGTTTAAACATCAGCCCCAGGTGGCAGGATTTGGGGAGGGTGTGCCACCTCCAAACCCCAACTCACTGCGGCAGATCACCCAGCCTGTGGGTCAGTGCCAATACCGCTATGTTCCACAATACTTTACTGTGAAATTGTTACACAATTTTTGTCACCGACACCATGCCCTAACTTTGTACATTTTTACCATGACTGTTCCATGAATTTAGCCTAATTTTAGCATAACCAAATCATATCCATAAGGATATTTAACAAACAGCAGCCTAGTCCAGTGGGTAGCACACTGGACTGGGACTCAGGAGATGTGGGTTTATTACTGGCTCTGCCACTGACCTGCTATATTCACATAGGAGTCACATCACTATTCTGTGTCTTGTTTTCCTCTCACACCCTTAGTCTTATCTATTCACTCTTTAAACCAGGGGTCTCAAACTCCCAGCTTGTGGGCCAGTCCTGACTACAGAGATTGCGCAATCTGGCCCAGGGCTCCCGGAGGGCTGCGGAGGGCCTGCCCGTGACCGGCCCCGATGCTCTGCCCCTTCCTGCCATCATCTCCTCCTCTCCCCCCCATGGTGCCTCATCCTCCAAGCATGCGGCTTTGAGGATCACCAGGAGGGGGCCTGGTGCCGCACAGCTGCAGCAGTTGTGGCCCCCTCTCATGCCCTGCATTGCAGCAGGAGCTGGGAAAGGGCAGGGTGATGGCGGGAAGGGACGAAGCATGGAGGCTGGTAACAGACAGATTCCCCCAACCCACCAGGAGTCCTGGTCTGGACTGCATATTCGCTCTGGCAGGTTCAGGCCCGCAGGTTGGGAGTTTGAGACCCCCTATTTTAAGCTCTTCAGGGTAACGGCCATCTCTTTTCCTGTGTATGCTTAGTGTTTAGCTTAGCACAACGGGGTCCTGATACCTTAAGAGAAATTAATAACAAACATCATCTAGGAAGGTGATATCTGAACGATAATGAGCGGGACTAGGAGAATTCAATTGCCGTTGGAATGCATGGGAAAGCAAAGAAGCCCAAGGTCAATACTAGTCCGAATAGTGGCTAAGGGTTTTTAAACTTTATATAACAGACACTTTACAATGAGACCAAAGTGGACATTAGGGTTTGCTTATATAAAGGGTATATAAAGCAGAAATTAAACTCCATGGCCCTAAATAATCTGTGATTCTTTTACTGGGGTGATATATGGAGAGATAAATGCTTAGCCCGTCTTTCACCTTTAACAATATGGCAGCACTAACTCGCTGAATCTTTTATAAACTCTGTCGCTAGACACACAGACACAGACCTTCACGCCTCTAAGTTCATCTCAGATTTTCGTTACATAAAAATTACCCAAAGAAACCTAAGCCAATGCCTGTAGCTTCCAAGCCCACACAAAACACATTTTGCCTACATTCCAACTCAACATTTCTATGATATTCAGATGCTAATGTAAAACATAATCTCCAGCCTCCCACTTGAACAAACAGCAATCAGCCTAATATGTTACAACTCAATTACTTCCTTCAGTTTCAGTTACAGTTGCTGTCAAATAAATCTGTTGAACCAATCAGTCTCATTGTGAGCGCTAGGGAAGCTTTTATAACTGCATTTGCTGAGTGGGAGGACATTTTGTGAGCTTCCCCACTGACAGATTTAGAGAAATGAGAAAAAAGTTTGGAGGAGAATGAAAGGAGATGGCCCTTACATGATAAATGGAAACAGCAGACCATGCTAATAGCAGACCAGACTAATCAAGAAACACAGGCTAAATACCTTGCGTCCCGATTCTCATTTATGCTAAGGCCGCTTATATATTCCTTATATCCCATCCACTTCGAGACTCCTTCACATTGCCATATAGCAAGAATCACCTGGACTCCGGCATTCTACTCCCTCACTCAGAATGACAAGATTATTAACCAGTTCTTTGTTCAGTTCCAAATCTGAAAGAACACACAGTGAGAAATGGCTATCACCATGGATAAACAGTGATATGGCCTGGACATGGAGGGTGCATGAAGCATCTTCCTGGAGTCCATGATTTTCTCCAAGGCTATGTCTACACTACAAAGAAAAGTCGGAAAAAGATATGCAAATTGCGGACCACAATTTGCGTATCTTTTTCCGCTTTTCTTCCAAAAGAGGATTTTCCGACATTTGGCCTGTCTACAAGAGGCCAAATGTCAGAAAAAACCCTCTTTCGGAACATCCCTTCTTCCTCGTAAAACAAAGTTTCCAGGGATTCTGAAAAAACAAGTCTGCTTTTCCTGGGAAAGCTCTGTAGTCTAGATGTATCCCTAGATAGCCCTCCCTCCTTCCCTGCCCCATGGCCTCGTGTTGCCATAACTAGAAATCTGTTCTGAGCTCAGCCAGTGTGGGTGCTGCAGAAGCTGCTGCTGGCACAGCACTGGAGTCTCACTAGATGGAGAGCTCGCCACTTCACAGCACTCCCTGATGCCTTCAGAATTCTGTCCTTTCTATTTTCATGTCGTTTCTCTACACAGGATCCTGAGGCGCTTTTGTGAAACAACCAATTGCCAGAAAGGCTTGGTACCAAGCCTGCTCTACAAGCTAGAAAACAGGCGAGGAGCGAGCCCGTCATTACTCTTCTCTAAAGCAGCAAGAGCTGAATGTAAAAGCACAACCAGCTTCTTTAATGCTTAACATACAGAGATTATGAGGATCAACTGTGCTTTCAGGCGGGTTCTGGAATCACGGTGGGTTCTGGAATCATCTCAGGGACCGAGTCCCTACAAGCATAGGCAAACACGCTGATTTGCTGTGCTGCGTTAAGGTGTTTTATTATTTGCTGGGTTCTCTCTCCCAGGTCTATTTTCAAGGTCTAAAATGGACTGCACCTGTGGGGAGATGGTGCCACAGCAGGCTGCAGTAAGCAGCCCATGCCACTGAAATAAGCATCCACATTGTTCGAAGAAGCATCCAATATCTCGATTTTCAACCATTGGCTGTATACAAGCAATTGAAACTGCAGCTCAGTCTCTCCTGGTAAGTCCCCTACTCCACTGGTGGAGTAGCGGCGAGGAGTCCTGTGACACCTTATAGACTAATCGAAGTGTTGGAGCATAAGCTTTCGTGGGCAAAGACCCACTTCATCAGATGCATGTGGGTCTTTGCCCACGAAAGCTTATGCTCCAACACTTCGATTAGTCTATAAGGTGTCACAGGACTCCTCGCCGCTACTCCACTGAGGTGGCATCTATGGTGAAGATGTGGGCTCACAAAGTTTGTGCATATATAGGGAAGAACTGAGACAAAGTCACTCGCTCTTCCTCAGCCTGCTCTACACTTAAAAAGTCAAACCGACTTAGTTACATTGCTCAGGGCTTTGAAAAACATCATGCCCTCAGTGCTCCAGTGCAGATACAAGGAGGTGGATGGAAGATGAGCACACAGTTATGATAGCATGAGTTAAGGACAGTATGAAATACTAAGAAAATGAAGAGGGCTACTCACCACAGATGAAAGATCCACGTTAACCATCCTCCTGTCATCCAGGCTGACCGGCTGCAGGCCTGCAACATTGAGCTGAGCAGAGGAGGTCCGGTAGACAAAACTCAGCAACCAGTCTCCCCTAGGAAGAAAATGAAACAGGGGTATTAATAAGCCTTGCAGGAAGACTGACAAAATGCATGAAGAAGCTCAGGGAACCCAGGGGAAGGCTGGGGCCATGCTGCATGGCAGCCCAGCAGCCAGGGAAGGTTGGAGCTGTGCCGCACGGTAGCCCTGGCCCTCATCTGGGGTTGGGCGGGGCTTTGCTGGGGGAGAGAGGTTGTGAAGGGGTATGGTTTCAGGGGAAAGGGTGTGGCTTTGGGTGGGGGTTTGGCTGCCTTCCTCAGCTGCGCCTTCACCCGCCGCCCATGACTATTAGCGGTGAATAAAACCCATGTGTAATACATCCAAGGGCCCATGGAATTCACTTTGTTTTGTATTTGTTGTGAACTCATTACTCAGACCCGGTTGTTTGAAAGGTCTAGTCATGCAAACATGGCTTGATTTATAGTATTACACTGAGCTCATAGGACACTGGCAGTTCAGATGATACGAAATCTAATATAGCTATTCTGACTGGCTTTCACTTACAGATGTTGGTTCATTCAAATTTCAACGCTGATAGGTGTGAACTGCTGTGCACAGCAATGCAAGCAAATGGACCTGATTCTGATCTCTTACTAGTTTTACACCAATGTAAGTTCACAAATTTCTGTGAAGTTACTCCTGATCCATCACAACGAGGCTCAATACCAAGGCAGGGAACCACCACATCTCTAGACTCGTGTGAAGGTCTCATCAGCAAATAACGTATTCCCCCGATTCATATTTCAGATACTCTCAATAGAAATCTTCCCTCTAGCTTTCCAGTCACTAGGGCTGGCCTTACCATGAGGCGAACTGAGGTGGCCACCTCAGGTGCCAGACTGTGTGTGTATGGGGGGAGGGTGCCATAGGATCCAGAATGTAGAAAATTGTGTCTGCTGCTGGTGCATATGTATTCTCTCTGCTCTAGATGCACAGAGATGGTGGAGTGCTGTGCTGGAGGAAGAAGGGCACAGGAGACATAACAGGCAGGCAGGAGAAAAGGGGGCATGGGTGCGTCATTTGAGCTCCCCGCCTCAGGTGCCAAATGTTGTGGGCCGGCCATGCCAGTCACCACCTCACATCACCCTTCACATGGGCCTGGTGCCTCCCAGATGCTCTATCCCACGGGATTTTAGAGATTAAATGTACTAGAATATTTCTCTAGAATCGCATCCCCCGCTCACTCCTATTTGTGTGCAACTGAGCTGTAATTTATTAACTGCTGTTTGCTGATTTGTCAAACCATGGCCCGCCAAAGTAAAGCGACTAATTTGAATTACACAAAAGTAGCCTATTTTATTTCAGTAGCAGAGTCTAGCTTTGAAACTACAGCAAGATTATTTCACTCGCATGACAAGAAATGATTAATTAGGCTTTCTGCACTGAAATAAGTACAGGTTGTTTTGCAGTACTGAGATGATCAATAGTCACTACAGCAAATTCAGCTACACAAGTAAATTGCTAATCATTGATGGCTTCCTGGAGGAAAACAGAAACACTTTCACATCCCACAGAAACTACACCACAGGAGACAGCAGTTGCTTTTTCTATTATGTTAAATGAAGAAATGCAGCAATTTGCATACATATCCTGCATCTATAAAACCGCAGTGACGTGACATTAACAAAAGCAGCATCTCTCAGTTCAGCCATACAGATGGGAGTAATGAAGATTTCTTGTTTTAATCTCAAGTGCTTGTGATTTAATTTCTCTCTTCTAATTGTTTAAGGTATGTAAAATAATAGATTCAATATATGTATATTAACATACATCTCTCTGTGTATATTTATTTGCAGACAAATTTGCATCATCATAAGATTTTGAAAATTAGGTGCTTTAATGTGTATTAAAAACAAATAATTCCATGAATTAGCTCTCAGTCTCGGTTGAAATGCAAAGTACTCCACTTAGGAAGGAACAATCAGTTTCACACATACAAAATGGGAATGACTGTCTAGGAAGAAGTACCATGGAAAGGGATCTAAAGATCACAGCAGACCACAAGCTAAATATGAGGCAACAGTGTGACGTTGCAAAAAAAGGTAAACATCAGTCTGGGATGTATTAGCAGGAGTGTTGTAAGCAAGACAACAGAAATAATTCTTCTGCTTGACTCTGCGCTGTTTAGGTCTTGGACATGATAACTACTTTCAAGAAGGAGGGAGAAAAATTATTCTCCTTAACCTCTGATGATACAACTAAAAGCAATGGGTTTAAATTGAAGCAAGTGTGGTTTAGGTTGGACATCATTGGAGACTTTTAAAAGCAGGTTAGACAAACACCTGCCAGGGATAGTCTAGATGGTGCTTGGTCCCTCCAGAAGTGCAGGGTACTAGACTTGTTGACCTCTCGAGGTCCCTTCCAGTTCTATAATTCTATGACATCCAAACATTAGATCGACCTATATTGCTCAACACTGATGGGCTAGCCACCATTGTACATGCAGATAGTTGATGGAAAAATTCTTCCGTTGACCTACCTACCTCTCGAGAGTGTGGGTAATGTATAATCAATGGAAAAACCCTTCTGGTGATGCAGGAAGGATCTACACCACAGTGCTACTGCAGCCCCATTGCAGTGCTGTTGTAGCATAGACCCTCCGTGAATTTAAGAGCTGAACTCTCATTTCCATTTTTGCACCACTCTGTGGGCATGTCTACATTGTGGGGAAGATCAACGCTGTTATGGTCGATCTTCTGGGGTTCGATTTAACAGGTCTAGTGAATACATGCTAACTTGAATTCGGAAGGTGCCCCCATTGGTGCTGGTACTCCTGCTACTTACGAGGAGTAAGGGAAATCAACGGTAACATTTGCTCCTGTCAACCTCCTGCTGAGTGGATGGTGTTTTAAGATATGTCAACTCCAGCTATGCAATTAACATAGCTGGACTGGCATATCTTAGGTCGACCTTCTGCTCCAGCGTAGACCAGGCCTGAGAGTATTAAGGGGCCTGCGATGGGATGTAAGTTACAGTTAAACCGAATCTGAGGCCCCTTTACACAGCCAGAGTGTCGTAAAGCAGTCCCAAATGTAAAGACCTACAGTCCTTAAATACCAAACCCTTTATATGTGCAGGTTTCCAGTGTAAGGTTAATCAAAGGCCAAGATAGAACAGCCTTCTGTAGCCCCCTGAAGACACAAAGACTTCTAAAGAAGATGGTTCTCTATGGAAAACTCCTTAATACTTCAATCTCTGTGGCTGTCAAACATTCAAAAGCAATCAATAAAATATCCATTGACGGTGACCCAGCCATGGAACTTGTGCATGTACAGACCTGCAATAGCCATTTATGATCCTGCCCGACACCACCTTTGAGAAAGGTTTCCAGTTCTTGGCTTCTCCTTCCACAGGAGCTCCCAGCAGGACCACATCCTCGATGATGCCCTCACAGTCTATAAAGATAGGAACAAAACATGCGCACCCCCCACCCAGACAAATGATGTTACTTAGGTTTGGAAGGCAGCTGAGAAAATGCATCTCTGTACTTACAATATAGACAAGTGATTCTTGCCATACAAGGATGGAGAGTATATTTAGTGTAATTCACTTACATTGTAGAAATACGCCATTTCTTTTGATTCATTTGTCAGGATAATCTAAAAAGATCTCAGGTCTGATCTGCAGAAGCACCGAGAATCCAGAGCTCCAGCTGAAGCCAAGGGGAGCACAGCAATTACGAAAATCAGAGCCCTTGCGATAGTGAAAGGCGTGAGACTAACCACAATGGGGAGTTAAGTTCTCTCCTCACAGAGCAGACCCAGCGCATGCAGCAGTGTAGAAGGTTCCTCCCACACTGCCAATCAGTATGAGATTGCTCTTGTTTCACAATATATGGAACGAGGAGCCCAGTGAGACTGCTTAAGCAAATGTATAATTAAGTTTCATAAACCCTTCCACCTGATCAGTCCTGGAAATTGCTAATGCATCCATTGAATAGGAGACCACAGAGCCAATACCAGGACAACAGAATTCCTAGTGGCAATTCACACTCATCTATTCCAACATTCAGAATAATTTAACAGTCCAGTCTGATTCTCCTGACTGGTAGTCTAGTTCTTAATACTACCTGCATACAACCTGTTCAAAAGATGTGTTGAGTTGAATCAAAATTAATACTCTTTTATTGCTAATGGCCAAACTGCAGCGAAGAAATCCCAGTAGAAGCAAGTGAATGAATGAGAAATATTGGGTGGCACATCATTGCTTTGCAGTACAAATGTTTTTAAAAAATAGGTGCTACACTACATCAACTATTGCCAGGACAGAGCTACACAAGGCAGTCTCACTCTGGGGATGGGATTCAAAGATTCTGGTTTTTAGCTCACCTTCAAGAGCATTCTGAGTTAGAGAAAACTGAAATAAATTCCTACTAAGCAAATTAAAATGCAAATGTGCGCATGTGTGCATACTAGGCGTATAGAAACAATAGACAGAACTGTGTAATTATATAGTATTGTAAAAAAAAGGTACAATTGTAATAATGCACTCTCTGATTACACAGAGTTGTGAAAAAGAGACAGCAAAGTGCCTTTTGATATATAATTGTACGCTAATGTTACATGGAATGCATCTGTCAACCAGAGCCCATATATATTATTGTTTATTTGTATTGTGGTAGCACTTAGAAACCTCTGTCATGGACCAGGACCTTATTGTGCTAGGTGCTGTACAAACACAGAACACAAACACAGCTCAGGCCCTAAAGAGCTTATTCTGCCAAAACAAGAATCTCTACTGTCTTTAGAGAGCACAGCTTGCCATTCGAGGGTTTCGGTCATTTTCTGGAAAGTGGAGCTAGTTTGTACAGTAGGTGGTTGGGATTATGAGGAAATAAATGTGAAAGCAATTACGTACGGCATCAAGTCATAGCCAACGAGATGCTGCCTGGTAGATTTTTTAATCAATGCAATTGATTTCCTCTAACAGCTGTAATAACCTGGCGCTCCCTGCAGAGAAGCATTATTCTACACTGTTTCACTAAGATGTAAATTCTAACCCCCAATGACAATCTGAAATGAGCACAGTTGTTTTTCTTTCTTAATTATGAAGCAAATTTCCCCCCAAATTAAAAAAAAAAAGGCAGAATAGTGATTTGATTTAGTTAGCGTAAATCTATGGGCAATGAGACTCCGGCTTCTACAGTCAACGGATAATGAAAAAAACAGAGCCATGATGATAGGGAAATAATTCCAGCCAGGACATAAAGTCCACATCTCTAGCATAAAGTCAGCTGAAAGATCAAGAGAAAGCAGCTCATACACCAGGCCCCTGAAGATTGGAGCTAACCAGGGGAAGGTCTGTTTTCTTTTCCTCCCTTGCACTATTCAGCTCCTGTTTGAAACGAAGCTGCTCAATACTGGCAACATATTCATTTCTTGTAAGCTATTATGGAGGAAAGGGGAAGCCAAAGAATATAGCTCTCTGATCTTCATGGTTATTGCCATGCTAGTTAATTATATCTATCCCCTGGATTATACATTGTTTATACTATAAGGAATAATGAAGTCCACGTGCATAGGGAAAAGAAAAATTAATGATTCTAGATAATCTGAAAAAAAGAAAAGATTATACCTCAGTCAATCCCTTTTGGGATTAATACATCTCACAGCCTCCTTCCGCCTCTGACTCATGAACATCATTAATTCTGGCCGGGTGTGTAAAAAGAAAAAAAAAGGCTTTTATTCCACTTGGCCAATTTCTTAGTAGATAAGACACCATTTTATATCGGGATTCAATTGGAGTATAATGGGGCAGGGATCAGCAATTCCCAATGTCTGCTAGCTACTAAAAAGGGTTTTTGCAATAAAAGGAGCTGTGTTTGCCTGTTGTGAGGTAATAACTACCAACTGACAGGCAAATAATCTTGGAAAAGGTCCATGCAATAGACACTGAGCCTGGGGTTATGACCAGTGTCTGGGAGCAGGGAGAGATACAGCCTTGTTCCCAGGTCTGGAAAGTTACACACAGGACACTATCAGGTAAAATAGGCGAATACAAGACATACGCATCAGGTAAGTGCTACTTAAAACCTTAAAACAGAGAGCAAGAGTTCAGATTCTGAAGCCCACCAGCCTGAATCACAACTTCAAAGTGCCGGCTGCACAGCTATTTTTAGAACACTAGCGTGAGCCCAGCTAACCAGAGTCTCTTGTCCTGGGCTGGGAGACTTGCTTCTGGGGCTGTGTAGATGCAACTATTAACTTAGGATGGATTTAAGATCTTTAATGCACACCCTTAAAGGTTTTGTCCCAGTATCTTCGGGGCAGTGTTCCATCTCATCGCCCACAGGCGTGCACTCAACACCTCCAGGCGAGCACTGTTTGGAACGCTGGTTGGCTGCATTGCAATGTTGCTGTACCTAACAGCTTGTGAATCTCATTGGACTCCTTTGGATGATGCGCATGCGAAGAATTATTTATATAATTTGTAAAAGCTCATTTAATGCAAACTGGCAAACCTGCCTAGCCAGGTAAGAAACATAACTATTAAGCCTAAACAAAATGTTTGAAACAGCCAATCAAATTATTTGTACTCAAGTCCCCAGAAAATGCAGTTACCATTTTCCATCCAAAAGCAATACAAGCTTGCCCTACTGGACCAGAAAAACAGTTCACATCGATTACCCCATCACTGAGAGTAGCCAGCACCAGAGATTTCAGAGCAAGGCTTAAGTGCCCTGTAATGGACAATTATGCAATAGCATGTCCAATGGATGAAGTTTCCTCCTAAACCCAAGCTAGGCTGACTTATGTTCTGTTGCAGTGTTTCTCAAACTTTAGCAATGGAAGGAATCACATTTTGATTTGCGGGACGCCCTGCCCTAGTCTTTCTATCTCTCTGCCCTCTGTCACCCACTCTCCTCCACCCTCACTTTCACCAGGCTGGGGCACAGGGTTGAGAGCAGGAGAGGGGTGAGGGCTCCAGCAGGGGTGTAGGCTCTGGGGTGAGGCTGTAGAAGAGGAGTTCAGGGGATGGGAGGGGACTCTGGGCTGGGGCAGAGGTGTGGGAGAGAGTTCAATGTCCGGGTGGTGCTCCCACAAAATGGCCGCCGGGTCCCTGCAGACACTAGGCGAAGGCGTGGGCAGAGAGGCCCTGTGTACTGCTCTTGTGCCTGCAGGCATCACCCCCACAGCTCCCATTAGTTGCAGTTTGTGGCCAATGGGAGATGTGGGGCTGGATCTTAGATAGGAGCAGTATGTGGAGCCTCCCAGGCCACCAATATGCCTGTGGGCTACTGGGAGGGATCCAGTGGCTGCTTTCAGGAGCCACATGGAGCCAGGGCAGGTAGAGAGCCTGCCTGGTTGGGAGGGGGAGAAGTTGATGAGTGGGACCAGTGGGCCCCCTGGAGTTCCCTCATGGACCCCAGTTTAGAAACGCTGTTGTGAAGTACTGGGGCTGAGACCCATTATCAATTTTTAACCTCTAGTTCAACTATGCATATACTAATTAATCATCTAGGAATGTAAGAATCACCATAGAAGATCAGGCCATGGTCTTTTTAGTCCAGTATCCTTAGTGGCCAGGACCAGATGTACGTGCATAATCCTTTTACTACTATAAAGCTTCTGGCTTCAAATGTCGTTCTGTGACAGTCCCACGACTTAAAGAACATTTTGTACCTAACTGTTTCCTTTCATAGAATCATAGAATAATAGGACTGGAAGGGACCTCGAGAGGTCATCGAGTCCAGCCCCCCCGCCCTCAAGGCAGGACCAAGCTCCGTCTACACCATCCCTGACAGATGTCTATCTAACCTGTTCTTAAATATCTCCAGAGAGGGAGATTCCACCACCTCCCTTGGCAATTTATTCCAATATTTGACCACCCTGACAGTTAGGAATTTTTTCCTAATGTCCAATCTAAACCTCCCCCGCTGCACTTTAAGCCCATTATTCCTTGTCCTGTCCTCAGTAACCAAGAGGAACAAATTTTCTCCTTCCTCCTTGTGACACCCTTTTAGATATTTGAAAACCGCTATCATGTCTCCCCTTAATCTTCTTTTTTCCAAACTAAACAAGCCCAGTTCATGAAGCCTGGCTTCATAGGTCATGTTCTCTAAACCTTTAATCATTCTTGTCGCTCTTCTCGGTTTTTAATTGTCTGTTTCCTTGGATAGCTACTTGATCTTGTAGAAGGAGAAAGAGTTATCAGGATCTCCTCTCAAGGCCCTTTTTAATATACTTCCACTATGTCCCATTTCATTTACCCCTCCACCCCCACCCCTCCCCCCGCATGGCTGTCACAATCTTTTTAATTTCTCCTGATCTGGAAGTCTTTTTACGAATGTTTCATCATTATCCTCTGACGCTCTTTACAGCCCTTCACACACATTCTGTTCTTATACTGTCATGCAACTGCCACCAAGACTGTATATAAAAAGGCTAGCAAGATTGGGCCTTGTATCTTATGTATATATCTTCTGTATCCAGACCCAGATGTCCCAGGTGGCTGCTAAACTTTTCCTGTGGCTTGCAACTGGAACGTGCCCTGAAAGGATGCATTGGCAACCTGCACTAAACACGGGCTTTTCATCCCACAAACAGTTCAGCTTTCATAATTCAATTAAAGGCCTGAAATTCAATGTGCCGTGGGGGGCTGCTACAATATGTATTTATGATGCTCAGATTTCATTAGAATGGCAACTAACCAAACAGCCTCTAATGATTCCCTTTCACATGTTACTTAGCTACAGTGCTGAGCAGTCCCACAGAGAGAGACTGTGGAGTTATTAAAGGCTAATGAAAGCCTCAAAACATTACTGCCCCAACATTTTCAGGGCACTGAGGAGAAAGAATAAATCTGGGACTGGATTTGGAACTCCGTTCTACCAAGAGTGATTCTAATAAAGTCACTTAGATACAGTTTGGCATCACAAAAACTAGAATTTGGCCTCTTGTGTTTCAAGGGTACCTCACTCTATGGCGCTGTGCACCTTAAATCAGAAATCCTGGTGTGCAGATGTAAACGGAAGGCAAGCTGACCTCCTCCTCTCATGCTGGTTTAATCTGTTCCTACCTGCCAATGCCTAGTAATGAATGTTTGCCAGTGCAAACTCCTTATTTCTTAGCTCCATTCTGTGAGGGCAAATGTTAATTACTAAAATTGGCTATATAGGGAGAGGGATAAGCAACACATACAATACTGACTCAACTCGAAGATGCAATTTATATCAAATGATCATGACTTGATTCCTTTTCTAAATTAAGAGGAGAATCTATTAATAAACAAAACCACAACGGGTAATAAATTGACAGATGGTTTTATGCTCGACTTTAAGGAGAAATTACCATGTAAATAGCTGATGACAGTGGCATTTCAGTGACTTAAATGGGAGGGAGGATGCTTGGGATCAGATATAATAGCTACAGAGAGCTTTCAATATAGGCGAAGCATCTTCTGCCAAGTTCACAGCAAAGCGTGGGCTGCTCACAAACCAATTCACCAGACAAATGTCACAGAACATCAAGAGGGCTGTATGCAGATGGAGGGCCAGATTCTGCTCCCAGTTATACTAGTGTAAATATGAAGTAACTACTGAAGTCAATGAAGATACTCCAGATTTACACTGGAGACAGCAGGAACATATTTCAAAACTGTTTGGTAGGTTTCTAGTTAGGCTGCACCTCTGGAAGGAAATACCCTCAGTTACTGACAGGAATAGTCTGCATTCTGAGACCAAGGAAGGGAACAATATACTGCATTTTGAGACCAAGGAAGGGAACAAGATGCTGCATTTTAAAGTTAATGTGAGCCACCTGAAGGCCAAGTAATGTGAGCTTTGTGCTTGTTCTCTGAATGAGGACTGTGCATTGAGGTGGCCCAGTTAGGATGTCCTGTTAACTGTATGGGCTAGGGTAGTTCAGTTCGAGCGCCTCCTTTATGAATGAAGGTGGCCAATGGATAACTTGTACCTGCAGAAAAGATTAACCTGGATCTCCTCCAGCTTAACACAATCAACGTCTCTTGGCCTTTCTTAAGAAGCTGTGTGCACACCTCCACTACCACCACTAACTAGCATCTTTGTTGACTGTCTCCGCAAAGAGTCCAATGACTGAATGAGCCCTGGAAAATGAACTGCTCACTTAACCCTAGAGGTGGTCCCATCCAGGTCAGGCTGTGAAGCACCATGGGAATGCCATGTGGCCGTACTGTCCCTTTTCTGTGACTATCCCAGAGCAGGGGCTCTCAAACCTTTACAGACTACTGTGCCCCTTTCAGGAGTCTGATTTGTCTTGTGTACCCCCAAGTTTCACCTCTCTTAAAAACTACTTGCTTACAAAAGCAGCTATAAAAATAAACATGTCACAATATACTATTACTGAAAAATTGCATACTTTCTCATTTGTAACATACATTTACAAAGTACATCAATTGGAATATAAATATTATTCTTAACATTTCAGTTTATAGAATATAGAGCAGCATAAACAAGTCACTGTCTGTATGAAATGTTAGTTTGTACTGACTTTGTCAGTGTTTTTTTACATAGCCTGTTGTAAAACTAGGCAAATATCTAGAAGAGTTGACGTACTGCTTGGAAGAGCCTTGTGTGTACTCCAAGAGGTACCCCTGGTTGAGAAATACTGATCTAGAGGATTTTGATCTCCAGAGCTGTTGGCATGATAACCTTTACCAGCACTAAGTTACTATATAAAAAAGTGATGGAATAATAAATTAGAAGAGAGTTAAATGTTGGACTCTACCTTTTTCTTGAGCCATCTCCTTTAGGCAGAAGTAAATAACTCTTGCACCCAGACTGAAGCCAATCAAAGTGACAGGTCGTTTGCCCTAGGGTACAGACAGACACAGGCAGAAATGAGGATGCATGACTGTCAAGCAATCTGCTAAACCTAGAAAGAAAGGGCAGGACCGGGGTGCATGTGCTAAGATTTGTTATCCAGCAAATCACATAAACATATGCTGAATTTTAAGTATGTAAGCAGTCCCATTGAGGTCAGCAGCTTTACTGATGTTCTTAAAGTTCAACACAGTTACATTTAACTTAAAAGTAAGCACTTTGCTAGATGACGGTCTAAAAATGCGCTCTTCCTGCTTTATTAATATCAAGTTTCTCACGCTTCATCTAAGGCAGCTCCTTTTCACTGAATGGTCCATTTGCTATTCATTGCACCTTACCACCATTATTTTAATGTCAAAGAATGCAAAGCCTCTTACAACAACATGGAAATGAGGGAATTGCTGGAACACATTTCCAAGGCAGGAAATGAAGTCCAACACTAAACAATTAACTTCAGGGCTTTAAAATACCAGTAGAGCACCTGCTGCCATTTTCCTAGCTAGAACAATAACTTGTTTCCACCTTATAAAAGCATTCTCTCTCTTGGGGCTCCCAACCACCAAGAAATGAAATGTAATGGCATTGTTGGCAGAGATGAGTACAAAAAGGCAATGCCATGGCTTTCAGATGCCTGCTGGGTTAATAGACCTGGCAGGTGAAATCAGCTCCCATGGCTTGTAACACTGCCAGCCAATTTTCCATGAAAAGGCAAACTGTAGACTGTATGCATACATAGCCTCCATTAAGAGATGTTCTACTCGCTCTCGCCAAGAGGAGATCTGGAAGTGAGTAAGTTGGTTAAAACTTAACCCAGATAAGGCAGAGCTAACACTGGTTTGATGGGGAACTCCTACTGAATGTGTGTTGGATGTTAAGGAGGTTCCTAACCTTGGTCTTGGGAAGTTGTGATGGCTTGTGTAACAGATATGGCAATTTCCTGCAACATCCTTTGGAGACCTTAAATTAAATTTAAGTGTGTCTGATGTCCACTGTATTAAACACATGGTGTATAATTGTGGGCTGGGATTCTATGAAGGCAGAGATGTGACAGATGTGAGACCTGGGGATTCAAAGGACTATCATGAACAATGTGCCAGACAAAAATGGTCTTTTGGAACAGAAAATGTTAAAGGGGTTTTCCAGGGAATATCTATCTAGGAGAGCCGAATGCAAATTCCCCACCTCTAGTTGTGCAAACCCTCCCCCTTTTGAAGCTATGCCCTGAGGAGTGAGCCACTGTCTGCTGTTTATGCATTACACAAGGCCTAGCTCAAAGGCCCAAGATGTACACAGGAAAGACTGAACTTCCTGGTGGGTCTGGTTCTGAATCGGAGACCACTATGAACTTGAAGTCACTGAAAAAAACCCATCTGTGGGTTTTGAAGGACTGACATGTAGGGTTGGTAAGCTTTTTGGCATGCATGCAGTGTTCCCCCAAATTTTTTCCAACCATGTGTGGAATAAAATTTGCTATGTGCACCAAGGCATGTGCAGATGCATATCACCAATAGAAACTCATGCTGCCAGCTGTGGGAGGATGAGGATGCTTTGTTAATCAGCTGGGTGACATTTGAATTTTTATTGGGCAGCTGCCCAAGTGCTTAGCTTATGGGGAACACTGCCTGCATGTATGTTCTTTTACAGTTTTCATGTTTTCTCTGCAATGCTTTCACCTTAAGAATAAATGTGGTTGCTTATAAAGAATGTGTGTGGTAACTTATAGCTGTGGGCCATCATGCTATTCATAGTCTCTGGGGAGAAAGCAAAGAGCAGAAGTTGGCTTGTTTAGATACTCTTGCTTTTTGGCAACAGTGTTTAGGCAGGAAACTGTGCAGTCTGGAAAAACCCTGGCCATGACAGACATACACATGGGTCTCTGCCAAGAGAGGTAACAGCTGGGAGCCTGTTTTCATTTTTAGGTGACTGTAAATAAGAAATGAGCAATATTATTTCCCGTAAGTGAAAACAAACTTGCTTGTCTTAATGATTGGCTGAACAAGAAGTTGGACTGAGCGAACTTTAAACTCTACATTTTACATTGTTTTGTTTTTGACTATAGTTACATAAAAAAAAATCTACATTTTTCACGATAAAGAGATTGTACTATAACAGCGGTTTTCAAACTTTTTTTTTCCATGACCCAGTTGAAGGAAATGGTTGATGCCTGTGACCCACAATAGTCTGATTAGAGTGTAGGCTCTGGGGTGGGGCTGAGGATGAGCTTTGGGGTGTAGGTCGGGGCTCTGGCTTGGGAAGAGTCAGGGCTGGGGCAGGCTCCCAGTCCGCGGTGCAGCAGGGGTGCTAAGACAGGCTTCCTGGCACCGCAGAGCATACTGTGGCCCAGAAGCAGCCAGCAGCAGGTTCCTAGCCAATGGGAGTACGGAACTAGTGCTCGGTGCTGGGGAAGTGCATGGAGCCCTGTGCGCTCTCTCTACCCTCCCACCTAGGAACTGGGCCTCCTGCCAGCTGCTTCTGGGGTGCAGTGCAGTCTGCAGTGCTAGGACAGCCAGGAAGCTGCCTTAGCACCCACACTGGTCACGTGATCCCCCTCCAGCAACAAGACCCAGCGCCTGACATTCCTCGACCCAGTACTGGGTTGCGATCCACAGTTTGAAAATCATTGCACTATACTACTTGCATTTGTCTATTTTACAGTGCATACATTTGTAATCAAAATAATAATACAAAGTGAGCACTGAACACTTTGTATTTTGTGGGGAGTCCTGTGGCATCTTAAAGACTAAGGGTACGTCTATACTAGACCCCTAGATTGATCTAGGGAGGCTAATGAGGGTGACCGAAATTGCAAATCAAGCCCAGGATTTAAATATCCCAGGCTTGATTTGCATGTTCCCGGCCAGTCGACATTTTAGAAATTGACTAGCCCGAAGTAATTGCCCGCATCTACATGCGGCAGTGAAACGAGACGGGTTTGATTTGCATGTTCCCGGCCAGTCGACATTTTAGAAATTGACTAGCCCGAAGTAATTGCCCGCATCTACATGCGGCAGTGAAACGAGATTCTGATTTAAAGCCCTAACTCGAATTAGCTGGTATTCCTCCTGCAATGAGGTTTACCAGCTAATTCAATTTAGAGGCTTTAAATTGGAATCCCGTTTCACTGTCGCGTGTAGACGTGGGCAATTACTTCAGGCTAGTCAATTTCTAAAATGGCAACCGGCCGGGAACATGCAAATCAAGTGCAGGATATTTAAATCCCGGGTTTGATTTGCAATTTCAGTCGCCCTCATTAGCCTCCCTAGATCGATCTAGGGGGCTAGTGTAGACGTATCCTAGCAGATTTATTTGCGCAGAAGCTTTCATGGGTCAAAGCCACTTTGTCAGATGCAAAGCTCAGGCTCAAATAAATCAGTTCGTTTTTAACTTGCCACAGGACTCCTTGTTTTTACAGATAGCAACTAACACGACTACCTCTCTGAAATTTATATTCTGTGTTGTGACTGAGAGGGATACATTTGAAGATGTAGAAAAACATTCAAATAGATAATACATTTAAATTGGCATTCTATTACTGTTTAACAGAGTGATTAAAACTGTGAGCAATCTCAATTTTTTTTTTATCTCATGACTGATTTCAATTATTTTTTTAAACCATTTCCAAAAGTTACAAAATGAAATAAAAAATTCAAATGGAAACTCAGTGAAAATTTTTCATTTTGGTTTGCTTTCAGATTTTCCCTATTTGCAAAATAAGTGGCTTTTAATTAAGCCCTGTTTATGGGAGAAAATGTTGTGGTCAAATATTATTTCAAGCTGTACTAGCCGGATGTACGTATGAAAATGTGATGTGGGCATCCTACTTCAATGAGCAAGATTTTACCGTAAATACATTTAATAGTGTTTTTATGAAATCAAGCAGGGAGGGATTTTAACAGCCAGAAGTGCCTTCTCCTTGTGCTAAACACACATCAGGCATAATAGGGTTCAGAAACATCCTGCTAAATAGTTTTAGGCTCTCCAGCACAGCAGGATTTTGCTTTAACCATAACTAATGTTAAAAGACAATTTCAAATGCCCTTGGGCAAATCTTTATATCAAACCAGGCTTTGATTACCTTTTGGGCACTGTGTTTTTATTAGAAATCAGCTTGGCTGGCTTACACTCCTATTTCACACAGTTATTTATGACATTCCGGCATCTGGCTCAGTCTACCATTACCTCTCAGCCACACTCAGCTCAGCTACAACAGATACTGGCCGAGTGTAGCTGTAAAACGAACACAGAGATCAGCCTGCACTCACATCAAACAACGGCAGGACCTGGGCACTTTAATTTAAGGTTTTCAGCTGAGGATGTAGAGGAAGACTTGGCAGGAAGGCTGGTTTTTATCCGAGCTGTTTCTTTCAGTACCAATTCATTCCATGTGTCTTTTTGGCTCCTTTTTCTTTCCTTCTTGTTTATTCTGGATTTATGTTCTGAATCTTATTCCTTCACAACTTGTTGCTTCTTCCACTACCCCTTTCCTCCATTTTGTGGATGGATTTCTCTTTCTTCCCCTCTCCGTCTCCCATTTTATTTCATTCTTTTCCCCTGACTTTTATTCCAGGGGTGTCCAGCAGGAGAAGACAATCACTCAACATAACTGTGCATTGGTCGAAGACGGATGCAGGGATCATTGCGTGAGAACGTTTTGCTTGGGTGATCAACAGAAAAGAGTGAGTGGAGAATTCAGGATAATGGGACCTGTGCCCAATTTAATTCCTCTTGGCAGAAGGTGGCTGGAAGCCAGTTCTTTTCTTCCCCACTCCCTTCCACAAGTTGGCTTTACAAATAATTATTTTAGAACAAAGCCTGGTGAATTTCCAGGCTTGTGACCATTTGGGATCAGTAAGGAAGTAAGACGCAGCATCTTCATTGAAATGACTCCAGATTTATACCAACACAGCTGAGAGCAGAATTTTGTCCGTGGTGAAGTTAGGTGATAGGCAATCTTCCCTCGCCCCACTTGGCCGATGCCTCTTACCTCTCGATGGGTATTTCAGCCATCTGTCTTTTCTCTTCCTTTCTGCCCCTCCTCATCCTCTGCTTTCACTCCCCCTCTGTCAAAACTGAGCCAAGTGGTACGGCAATTTTATGAAGTGGAAAAATCACACTAGTTTGCATTTCTGACTTGGATTAGATTTAAACCCAGGTCTCTGGCAGTGAAAAGATAGATTAGTTATTCTTCCAGTGTGTCACCAAGCTTCCTCGATGAAATGGGTGCTTGACAAACAAAAGGTGCCATAGTGTCTCTCATGTTCAACTTTCCCTGGATTTTGTTTGTTGCCCTTCAGTACTGGATTCTGCCTGTAAGCCCAAGCCAGTGTCTTAGAAAGACACTGTATGGCCCCAAGCCCTCTACAGAGCTGCCTTTCCTCCAGCTCCCTCCGTTGAGCAGCAGCCCGGCAGGGGCTAAGAGCAGTATGGCAGCTGGAGGAGGTGCTGGTGCCCCTGCCAGCGAGGAAAAGAGCAGAACCACCAGCTCCGCTGCTATACCGAGCTGGAGGAAAGGCAGCTCTGAGGAGGGGAAAGAAGACGAGTGGGTGGCTTCTGCTCCTTTCTCTGCTGGGAGGGGCAGAGCAGGGAAAGCGGGAGTACAGCCCATAGCTTCGCCAGCTGCCATACTGCCCCCAGCCTGCACCCTGAGATTAGGAGGGGATGAGACGAGCATGAGGGCCCCAGGTTGGTGGAGGGCTCCCCCCTTAGCTGGTGTGCCTTCCCCCCGTATCCAGAAGAAAATAATTCCAGGCTTTCCCCTCTTTGCATAAGCATTTTCCAGTGACTGCCACAATCTCTTTTGCTATCAGAGCTCCCTAGCAGCCTGATTGCTGCCTGGCCTCTTCTGCATTTAGCCAAGCTTTGGGTTCAATTAAAACAGCCTCTCGTCCACCACTGCTGGCCTCCATTCCCTGCATGGAAGAGTGAGGTACATGTTGGTCTCCCTCATGCCTCAATTTTGCATTCTGCAGCTTGTTATTCATTTTCTTCCCCTTGGACGAATACCACCTGCTGTTTTACTAGCCGGCTGTAAACCATCAGCCCCCTGGAGCCTCCTCAAGATATCAGTCCCTACCAGCTGTAATAACTGGAGTCATCTTTTGCACCCTCAGCCAATTACCTGCCGTCGACTGAGCAATATCTGTGCCAGATGTTTGCCCACTTCAGCTGATCGACTCAGGCACACTCCCCAAGGGTTGTCAATGACACTGGCTACAGTAAGAAGTGAAGCCGGCCACGTCAGGGCTGTCACTATGCCTGAAAGATACAAAGCAAATCAAAGTTACAAATCCAGCCAGTTCCGAGACAATTTCAAAAGTCAGATGGTTTGCTGGAGTAAAACCACCGCGTCTTTTATCACGGTCAACTTTTCTTTCCCAAGACTGATTTAAGGTGTGTTGTGAAAGATTCAAAATAAGACAGAGGCTGTCAAATGTCACTGCACTCAGGTGTAATGTGCACAAGCAAAACAGGAGAAATCAAATGTAAATTGCACATGTACAACCCAGGGAACACAACAGAATGATATTATAATGCATTAGTGGCATCTGCGCAGGAATGTTGGATAGGATGTGTTCAAGTATAGTGCATGGATGAAGTGTGCAAATGCAGACCAGGAATAAAGTGCAGTCAAGTATCATGCAAAGATACAGTGCACACAAGCAGAGCATGTGCACTCAATGCTTTCTAGTGTAGGGACAGGTAGAACAGAAAAGGCATGCAACATGGATACATTATTCACATGTGGAAGAAGTATGTAATGCAGTGCAATGCAATGAGTATGATATTCTGTGCATGCTGTATACCAAAACTCCTTACCGTGTGAAATAGCACAGAGTTACAGTAATAAACAGAAGAGGGTAAGAAACATTGAGGCACACAGGTAAGGAAGAAATCTGTTTTCATCTGAGGGCAGGTCTACATTAAACTGGATGGTCAGTTTAAGAGATGCAACTCCAGCTATACAAACAACATAGCTGGAGTCAACATAACTGAAGCCGAATTTCTCCAGAGGCTCCACAGCAGAAGGTCAATGGGAGAAACTCTCCCATCCACTTTCCTTACTCCTTGTGACTACAAGGAGTTCTGGAGTTGACAAGGGTGCCTCAGTGTTTGATTTAGCAGGTCTTCACTAGACCCGCTAAAACGAATGCTGGACAATCGATCTCTGCAACGTCAATCCTCCGTTTAGTAAAGACATGGCCTGAGATTTGAGATGCCATAACAAATTGATGAGGTACAATGATAGGAGCTGCATAAAAGCAGGCTCTCACATGGACCATGGTGAGATTATTTCAAAGAAAGGTAGGTTGCACTTGAATAATAAGCCTTCAGTCCTGCTTATGGATGTGCTTAACTTTGCCCATGCAAAGTACTTCCTTGGAAGCCAATGGGACAACTACAGAAGGTAAAATAATGCAGGTGCATAAGTCTTTGTAGGACTGGAGTCAATACGTGTAAGGTTTGCAAGAGACACTGCTTCTCAGATAATCAATCAATAAATAGGAAAGATTGTTTATTTTGGGGAGGCCTCTTTGAACAAACATAAATACTGAAATGCACAGATTCAGAACCTAAGTAACCTTGGTGCAATTCTGATTCTTACCTGATAATACAGTGTACTTCAGGGCTTCCTGAGCCATGATGTTAACCAAACCATTCAGCAATGAATCCAGAGCATTGCCCAACTCCATCAAGTACTTGGATTCCCAGGCTAGACAGTACTGCTCTCTTGACTGCAACATGCTGTTCCAAGGAGCTGTGAAACTCCCTAAGAAAAGATGGGAAAACCAACTCAAGAATTCAGTTTGATGGGAGGAAAATCAACCATCAACTGGCCACAAGAGTCAATTAGGTGTAACCGGTCGGACACGACCCCCATCCTTTCTCTCCACTGGCATCTAGCTGGCTGGACATACTCCTCTTCTTTCCCCCTTTCCCTGAGCTTAGGATGGAGTATGGTGGAAAGGGATCGAGAGTCACTGTGGACCACAAGTTAAACAACATTGTGACACTGTTGCAAAGAAAAGCAAACAGCATTCTGGGATGTATTAACAGTCGTGTTGTAAGCAAGACACAAGAAGTAATTATTCTGCTCTACTCTGTGTTGATTAGGCCTCAACTGGAGCATTGTGCCCAATTCTGGGTGTCACATTTCAGGAAAGATGTGGACAAATTGGAAAAAGTCCAGAGAAGAGCAACCAAAATTGTTAAAGGTGTATCTAGAAAAATAAAAAGATCTAGAAGGGAAGATTGAAAGAACTGGGTTTGTTTAGTCTGGAAAAGAGAAGTCTGGGCAGGGGACATGATAGCAGCTTTCAAGTATCTAAAAGGAGGAGGGAGAAAAATGACTCTCCTTGACCTCTGAGGATGGTACAAGAAGCAATGGGCTTAAATTTCAGCAAAGCAGGTTTAGGTCAGACATTAGGAAAAAACTTCCTAACAGTCAGGGTGCTTAAACACTGGAATAAATTGCCCAGGGAGGTTCTGAAATCTCCATCATGGGAGATTTTTAAGAGCCAGTTAGACAAACACCTGTCAGGGATGGTTTAGATGGTGTTTGGTCCTGTGATGAGTGCAGGAGGCTGGACTAGATGACCTCTCCAGGTCCCTTCCGGTTCTATCTTGCAGGACGTAGGTAAGGATCTTTTCAGACCCTTTTCTATGCTCCTAACCATTTTTGTTGCAATATTGGGGCTCTGATCCTTTTAATGAAAGGACTTAAATCTGCCACTTCTCTGTGAATGTCCAAAGTGTTGTGCTATGGTATATTACCCTCCTGATACTTGGATTTTGCAGGATTAGAATGAATTAATGGATCCGTCTGAATGTGAGAAGATCATTTAGAGACCCAGATGGTGTGTTTAGTACCCTTTTTCTTTGATTTAATTTTTCTCAGACACTAATCAAGAGCAACTGCTGTCAGCATAATTTTTTGCGGCAAAATAATTACTGTGCCATCCGGTCTACTAGGTGGGATAAGCCGTCAAGAGGGGATGCCAGCAACTCTAAAATATGCCTACTTAATTGTAGAAAAGCATAGTATAATTCAGCCTCCAAAAATGTGAAGGTTTCCTCACTCCTTTCTTCCCTTACGATCAATGCACAGCACAGAGGCAGCATAGAAGAAGTACAGCTTTAGCAGAAGACCAAACGTGCTTTCACCACAATACCCTGCCAATGTGCCTCAATCTTGATCAGAAAGGACCACACTTAGATGTACAAGCACCAGAGTTATGAACCGACTGGTCAACCACAGAGTTCATTTGGAACCAGAAGAATGCAATTAGGCAGCAGCAGAGACTCTCCTCCCCAGAAAAGCAAGTACAGTGCAAAACAGCGATGGGCAACCAAGAACAGAGAGTGGGCCGCATGAGTGGCTCTTCTTCATCCTGTGGTCCACGGACTCCTGTCTGCCTCCTGCCCCTCATGCCCTACACTTCCTAATCCTCCCCCATCCTCCCAGCATTTTCAGAGTGCCACAAATCACCTGATTCAGGCTCCATCCCTGCTCCTCTCCCTCTCTCTCCTAGGGCTTTAAGGACTAACAAGACGGTTTAATAGGCGATTAAATCATCTTGTTAGTCTTTAAAGTGCTACATAGTTTTTCCTTTTGTTTTAGAAAGATCAGACTAACCCGACTACCTTTCTATTCCTATCCAGGGCTTTAACAGCTTTGAACAGCTGATTCAACACATTCCAGCTTTGGGAGGGAGGGGGAGGAGCAGAGATGGAGCGTGAATCAGCAGATTTGTGCTACTCCAAAAGTGCTGGGAGGGAGGGGAAGCAGTAGGAAGTGCTGGGCTTCAGTGCCCCAGTGTGCGAGAGATATGGGGGAGGGAGGGAGAAGACAGGGGGGTCTGGAGGCTGCAGGTGTATTTCCCCCCACTTGTGTAAAACATAACCCACTAAAAAAAATAAAGGGAACATTTAAAAAAAGATTTGACAAGGTGAGGAAACTGTTTCTGTGCTTGTTTTGTTTAAATTAAGCTGCTATTTTCTTCTGCATAGTAACATTTCAAAGCTGTCTCAAGTCAATGGTCAGCTGTACCTTTCTGAAAGAACAAAACTATGTTTTGTTCACAGTTATGAACACTTTAGAGTTGTGAACAACCTCCATTTCTGAGGTGTTCATAACTCTGAGAGTCTATTGTAAACCAGTCTTAATAGCCAGTTCACACCTTGGTTTCTCTGCTGAAACAGCCAACAGTGGGCAAATAGTGTAACCTGTTGTGTGGACCACAGTGACCCAGAAAGAGACCACTAGTTCATGTCATACGGACCACTCAAAAGCTCTTTGATGGAGATCCAATCACTATATAAAGTGTTTGATGAGGTATTTTTATACTGTAAGCCAAACTACTCTAACTCCTTGTCACTGTGCCTGAAAGTTGGTACAACATGTGCCAACTGGCTTTGCTACATTCCTACACCATACACATTTTCCTCAGTATGATTGGGATGCTGCTTTCTTGTCACACACCTGGAAACAATGGAGTCTGGCCTTGGGTAGATGAGGGGGGACAGAAAGCTGCACTAGGGAAGGATGGCTCAATGGTTACGAAGATTCTGGAGATCACAGTTAGCTATTCTGCTCTGTCATAGACTTGGATAAGCCTGTTAGGGTCAGTATTTATTAGAAGGTGTTTGGATGCCCAAAGGTGTAGTTAGGTGCCTAGGTGCTTTGGAAAAACCCACTAGGCATCTCCCTAAACGTGTAGGCACCTCAACACCCTTAAAAATCTCTCTGTGCTTCAGTTGCCCAGCTGGACTGTGGGGACAGCACTTCCCCACTTCACAGGGAGTTGTGAGGATTTCATATCAAGGATGGTGAGATTTGGTTTACACTTAAAATATAGGCAGATGTAGATATGTTGATCCCCGCCCCCTCCCAAAGCACAGACACAGCTAGGTTGGTGGAAGAATGCTTCCACTGGTCTGGCTATGATTGCTTAGGGAGGTAGAGAAATGGAAAACCTCCCTACATTGCTGTGGTCTGAATCTACACTTTGGCACTGTAGCTATGCAACTGTTATGCTGGCAGTGTAGAGAGGGCCTCAGATATTATGGTGCTGGGGACTGTATAAATACCTAAGATAGATAAACTATAAAAGCAGGCAATTAGTGGTTGTTTCATTTCTGTTGTTTTCAACAGTATAATATGTTTCTAGTCATGGAAACTCCCTCCCCAATACAGATCCTCCGTAACTCTCATTTTAAGGGCAAAAAGACTGAAAATGGTTAAATAACCCACTGAAAGGCAAACAGTGACTTAGTAACAGCCCCCTGGTAGCCAGGGGCAGATGACCATTTCGCGGGGCCCAGGGCAGCACAATTTGGCGGGGCCCCCCTTTGCCATGGCACATGCGCAGTGGCGCCATGGCGCATGCGCCATGGTGCCATGACGCATGCGCAGGGCTTCTTGAAGCGCGGGGCCCGGGGCGGCCGCCCCGCTCGCCCTGCCCTATATCTGCCCCTGCTGGTAGCCCACCAGTCACAGAAATTCCTGAAAGCTTGTGTGGCATCAACAAGAGTACAACATGGCAGGAAAGCAGAGGTTTTAAAACCCCCAATTCTGATGGGAGACTGGATTTAACCAGTAGCAGCCAAGAGAAAATGTCTTTGTAGTATTAATGATACAGAATATTTATTATGATATCCCTGAATGGAATGTGTTGGCAGCTATTCAGTAGGGTCACTGTACATATTAACAGCAGATGGTCAACATATTTTATATGACAAATTACAACTGTGTCTATATTTGAAATTACAATCTACCATTACACATTTTTGGAAATTGCAGGCTATTAGCTCTCTCTTTCTGCACTGTATGTAACATGGGTTACTTGACTGAGCCTTCTTGCCAACAAACGTCATTAGTTGACAGAGACTGGGAGAGAAGAAGAAACTGCATTCTCTTAATTGCCTGTGGGTAAATGTGAGGCACAAAAAAGCTACAAAAACTGGCTAAAGCACTTTGTGCCATATCCTAGGCATCATCCAGCTAAGTCAGATCATGTCTAGCAAACACCCAGGATATAACCATCTCAACCAAACTGTTTGCTGTGCTTTATCTTCTCTCTTTTCTGGATGAGGCTACAATCTGCATTTTAAAGGGAGAAAACCTTCAGACTGCTTAAATCTCACCTCTATCAGGTAAGGACACATGAGAACATCTGAAAAGACACCATAACCCTGATCAACTACATGCAATCTGATTTACAAGAGTAAAGGCTGATGGAATTAGGAACAGAGGTCAGGTAACCCCTCCCACATTAAACATTGCTCCTCTTTCAGAATGTTTGCCCAAACCATATTCAACATTTGATGAAAACCTTTTAACTGCTAACTAAACTCTGTTCTGCTGCCGTTGAAGGAGGGACAGAAAGGGAAGCCCTATTTAATAGTTCATAGGGGGTGTCCACGATCATTCATAAAAGGCATCAAACTGGGTTAAATAAATAAAGGCCTACCTACAAAGGGAGAGTTGTATTTAACCCTCGGTCTCTAGCAAATTCTTCTCTTTTGTCATTCTGTCCTGCTTCAGGTTCCAAAGAATGTTTGCTGTTTTGATAGTTTTTGTAATGCGAAAATCTTGCCAGAAAATGTGGATTGAAGTCTCCAGAGGCACTGCACATTGTGCCAAACACAGAACTCATATCAAGCTACTCAACAGCCATCACTTTCAGTTACTACCAACATTGGATGGACCTGACATGATGACCAAAAGCTAAAGACGCCACAATTTCTATTATTAGAGATTGAACCTCTCTAGTATGGCACTCTTTAGTTTGGCAACATCCATAGTCCGGCATGATATTAGTTAGCTGGACAAGTTTGGCAACATCCATAGTCCAGCATGATATTAGTTAGCTGGACATCTATTTATCATGGGTGTGGCCAATTTTCCTGTGGTCCTGTAAAGTTTGTTTAAAGCCACCAGTCCTGACTCTGTTTCTGTGATCATTGGTAATGCTGCTAAACAGAAGCATGGTTTTTATGCTTTATCTATATTTTTTCCTTGTACCTATACACAATTTTACTGTAACACTAACACTTTATTATCAAGAGAGCTGATAAGCCTTGGCTAGGCATAGGCTTATATAGGATATGTCAGTACAGCCACACATTATTAAGCAGCATTGCAAGCATTGTTCCATTTATTTGCTGCTGCAAAATAAAAATAGAGAGAGACCCAATCACTACAATTCTGACCTCTGGTGTTTGGGAAAATTCTCTGGTTATCACCTGTCTGGTCCCAAGGGTGCTGGACTAGAGATGTTCAACCTGTACAAACCACCATCCAGTGCTCTCTTTTACATTTTTAACCTATTCGCGCTAACCTAAGCAGATGGGGATTTAAAGTAAGCCTTGGCATTCCAACACAGCAGGTTGGTCCTGCTACATTTCACACTTCTAATACTACTTCCCATCTTTCACAATACAACTCTGGCTTTCCAAAATTCTGTCTAGGATTTCTTCTCTTGCTCTTACCATATTTGCCAGTACACAGCCAGCCAGTGATGGCTATGGTGATATGAAGTTGTTTCCCTTCAGTTAAAGGGAGGAATTCAAACTCCTCGATGGCTCCCACTCGTTTCTTCATCTTGTAGCCTACACGAATAGAAATTGCAGAGTAATGGTAGAGGCTGAAATGAATAACAAATTCTTAGATCTTTGCTTGGCTGAGGAGATGGGATGGCAGCAGGAGCCATTATCTGATTCAATTAATAACTGTCCACTATTAAACCCTTGTTCTTAAAGCTAAAGCCGAGGTTTCCATTAACTGTACTTAGCTACAATCCTGAACTGTGAGGGTGTCTGTCTACAGCAGGAGTGGGAAATGATGGCTGGTGGACCAGATCTGTCTTGTTGCTTAATTCCTTCCAGCTTACAGTGTCCCCTTTGCAGGGCTGGAGCTGCAAGTGCCACCTCACCCTGCTGGTGGATCGGGGAGAGGAAACCCTGCAGCTCCACACCCCTTCCCGCCCATGGGGTGAAGCTATGAGGCTTGGCTTGTCCCACTCTGGGGGATGCCCTGAGACAAGTGGGTGAGTGGATTTTGACTTTTTTTTTTTTTCTGGGAGCCAATGGCCCATGACAGAAAAAAGTTTCCCCACCTCTGGTGTACAGTGTCTAATCCGAACTGCCATGAACCCAGGGAAAACTGCTGCCTTAGGAAGAGGGCCAATGCAGGGCCGTGCAGATCAGTGGCAGGTGAGGAATTAGAGGCTGAGGTCTCCTACTGCTGGAAGAGTCTGTTTAATCCACAGTACCCTTTGCAGATCTCTCCTTACAGAGCTAAGCCGTTACTACTCGACTGTGTACTCATGAGCCTGTGGCTGGGTGGTTCAGAAACTTGCCAGTAAGGCCAGCTCCCGCTGCTCCAAAGAGCGAAGCCATGACAGCAATTCCAGCCACTGACCCCAAAGCTGCTGCCCCAGCACTTCCAATGATAGTTGCAGCGCCAGCAGCAACCAGAGGGGCAGCAAGACCCCCTGTCAAACCTAAAGGTGCAACAAGTGAGAACTCCAGTGCATGATCACTGTGGAAGGGAAACAGATTTTCCTGTCTTTGTGCTATGTCTGCAGAGAGGTAGCCTGCTATTGTGAGAACAGCAAACCCACTACAGGGCGTCAGCTAACCCACCGCCCTCCCTTAGAGCAGTGGTCCCCAACCTTTCAGGGCTGCCAGGCAGCTGGGGGCGGGGCCGCCCATGCGCCGCGCACCCGGGGCCAGCACTGCGCATGTGCCACAGGCCAGGAGTAGTAGGGGCCGCCCATGCATCATGCGCCCGGGGCCGACACTGCGTCGGGGCCAGCACTGCGCATGTGCCACAGGCCAGGAGTAGTAGGGGCCGCCCATGCATCATGCGCCCGGGGCCGACACTGCGTATGTGCCATGCACCCGGGGGCGAGGCCGGCCCAGATCATTCTGTGGGCGTACATAAATGCCCCGGCAGGCACCATGGTGCCCGCGGGCATCGCATTGGGGACCGCTACCTTAGAGGAACCTGAACGGGATCTCCCCTCTCCCTTGAGAAATCCACTCTACTCTTACCCACATTGCTGTGTCAATAAAAAACTCAGATTTTCAGAGACCCTCCCGCTCACTGAGTCTCCAGCCTGGATTCTCCTCTCACCATCACCAGTATAAATCAGGATTGATCTCACTCAAGACAAAGGAGAAACACAGGGGAAAGTAGATTCCAGCCATCTCTTAGCAGAAAAACCTGGGTTAATCCCTCATTATCCTGATCTCGGGGAGTCTGGAGAAAATGATGTGTCTGAATCTAACACCAGGATAAATGAGGAAAAATAAATTTAAAGAGCCCAAGGGAAGGACATTGATTTTAGATCAGCCGAGGAACTGGTTTTTATACATCTCACTCACCAAACAGTTCTAATAGACCAGTTGAGCAATTGAGCTCAAGTTTGTCCTGGAAAATCACCTTTTGAAGGCTGAAACGTACATTTACTCCCATCTTCCACATCTTGTAAATCAACAGTAACTCCCCAGCAGTCATAGGAGTGACATTACCTTAAGGCTGGCCTGAGAAGAAAAATGAGGCTCCCTTGTCCATAACCCTTGGCTTTGCAAAGCCTACTAAGATTCTTCCCGGATTTTGGCACTTTCCTTGTATCTGATTTTAACTATTACCTGGAATGTGACATTACAAACAATGACTGTGATAAAATTAGACCTGGGGCGAAGGTGCAGCACAGCTGCTGTTGCTCGGTGAATCATTTGAGAACTCCCACTCTGCTCTTGCCACCATCTGTGTAAGCCAACCAGGTCCCAGAAACAAGGGAAACCTCACCTATCACTGTTCCGCCTCCTACTGTGGCCAAGCCAATCATCAGGTATCTTCTCAATTTCCTCTTCCTTTCCTTCTTTCTTCTTGATGCTTCTGCAGTTCTGGGTGGGAATAAAAATCACAAGAGCTGACACGAAAGCCTGACCGGTAACACCACCACAGCCAGATCTGTTGGTCCTCTGTTGATTTACAGCATAGAATTTCACTACCAAGACCAGTACACACAGTCCTGCAGGTATGCATTACAACAACACACTTAGATTTATGATTATAAAAATAAAGCCACAGACTGAAACTGAAACATGGTAATTGACAATCCAAAACAACACAGAGGACTCACCTGGAAAACCCATCCTAACACAGGACTGCAGCTTGTACAATGAAAAAAGCAAACATTTTAGCAGCCACATACATCTTACATGTAAGATCTCTTGAAGTTTGTGGAATATTCAACACTTTTTTATACTACTGTGAAGAACATGCTATTCCAAAGTGTCTTGCTGAGCAGGATGGGGCCCTACACATGAAACACAGAATCATAGAACACTAGAACAGGAAGGGACCTCGAGAGGTCATCGAGTCCAGTCCTCTGCCGTCACAGCAGGACCAAACATGAGGGTGGATGGCTTAGAGGTAGCTATTATGGGCTAGAGAGCTACAGCAGGACCAAACATGAGGGTGGATGGCTTAGACTCGAGGTAGCTATTATGGGCTAGAGAGCCATTCACTTCTGGTCACAGGTTTGAATCCAGCCCTATTTGGATAGACTATCATTTGCCAGCTATTGAGTAGCCTCTATGAAATGAGTAGGTGGTGCAGATCCAGTTCTCACTAGACAAGAGTCCACACCAAAGACTGCACTGCCTGGTACCCTTGTTGGCTGTCTCTGCAGACACCAAGGACTGAACTGTTCTCATCTCTAGAGATGATGCCTCCAATTAGTTGAGGGCTTGAGGCACATTTCCAAGTTGGGGTGGGGCACAGTCTGTGAATAAACAGTCTCTAGGGCTGTGAATCTGACATTACTCACAAACACTCACTGCACTCCAAGGGTATGTCTACATGGCGACAAATCCAACCCCCTCGTCAGTGAACCTCACATCTTAGGTCTACACACTCGGGCTTCTGTTACAGTGCTAAAAACCATGGTGCAGATGGCCATGCTCAGGGCTCTGAATCCCAGGAAGTTTTGCAGAACCCAAGCTCCTGCCTGAATCCAAATGTCTACACTGCTATTTTGAGTGCTATTGCATGAGCCCTGCAAACCCAAGCCTGTAAACCCGGGCTGTGTGATTCCCTGACGGGGGTAGGTTCTGCCACGTAGACAGGCCTTACGCGTACAGTATGGGGCAGATGCCAATCCTGCTGAGGACAAGAATAAATGTCCCAGTAAAGTTAATGGCACTGACTCAGACTATTCATTTTTGGGCCAGGCCTGTCAGTTGCCACGCAGAAACCAGAAACAAATTAGGGTTCCCGTGAATGCTGTGGCTCAATGAATGAAGTTTTAAAGGTTATGTCTGGTGATGAGGCTGGAACTGAACTCAAAAAGCCTGCAAAAAACCAGGCAGGCTCCACATTTGAAATCTCATTTTCTTCTCTTCCGAGATACTGGCTGTACATCAATCCTATTTAACAGCTGCTTTTATGAAAGCTCCACTTAGGAGAAAAAAAGTGCTACTTGCCTGCTAGGCTCCGAGAGCAGCAAATCAAATTAACAGCAGAAAGCTGGAGTCACTGCTGGAAGTAAACTGGGGCTCTGCCTTCCTGATATTGTTTTGTGGCTGTTTAAAATTCTCCACTGGTTAACAGCTGCCGAGGTGACAGACTCCCATTGGGTGGATTGTAACGTGAGGAATAGAAAATGATACAAAACACTAAATGAGTGTGGAAAACAAATCATTTCCTTCCTCTGTGCTGTGGAGGGCTTCACTTTCTATTTGTAGGTCTGTTAAACACAATCAAACTTCAGGCTGGGAGTAACCCCGCCATGCCTTACTGGAGAGAGCGAGGGTCCAAACTGTTTCAGGCAACAGTACCAGTGTAGCTAAGTAAGACCTAGGCTGAGTCAGCCAGTGCCCATCGGCTTCTGTTTAATTGGGCCCACTCTAACGAGAAATGGGATACAGGCTGATCTGAAGTCTGGTCTTGTCAGTTACAGGTTAGTCATGCTGTGATACATGAAAAACACAGGGCCAGATAGAAGACAGGCAATGGCAGCACATGGGCGCCCAACTCAGAGGCTCATCTTTAACAATGGAAGGAGGAACCTGAAGTTCTAGCACGGGACTCAGTGTTTGGGAATCACAGTACTCTAGCAGGCTCCTAGATAGGGATGTTAAGTAGTGGTTAATGAGCTAATGGAGTACTTGATGGAATTTCCATTGACTACTTGATTAGTCAATAAGGGAGAGGGGGGCACTTGCTACCCCCGCTGCAGCTCTGCAGTTTAAATGTAAGAGCCGGGCGTGCAGGCAGCCTGGCTCCTACTACATTTAATTTGCAGAACCGCAGTGGGGTTAGCTCCCGTGTGTGGTGCGAGCCAGAACTGCTCAGTGGTTGCATTTCAGTGATAGTTTAAGTGGATGCCTATCTCCATAGTGCTCTGAGAGTCTTCTGGCACTAAATTCAATGGAGCCACATCAATTTACACCAACTAAAGATTTGGCCTATTTTTTAAAATGATACCTATCTCTGAAAGTGTAAAGACTCAACTTTGCCAGACTTTGCTGAAGAATAAAGCATGACCAACCCTTGAAAGAACCAGGAAATAAAATAAGCCAACACAGGGGAATTCAGAAGTCACATCATAAGATGCTGCTTTGAACAGAACAGGGGAAAACACCACAATAAAAGTCAAACTTAGCTAAAGAAAGGGAAGAGCTTATCTACACAGCGCTTTGACTACACCCAGAGAGCTACAAATTTCAGTCTGTATTAGTGTGTCACACGTTATCCGGCCCATGCGGATCCTGCTAGGGCGGTAGTAGTAATGGATCGGACTATGTTAATGTTTACTAGGGAACTTTCAGTGTGTGTCAGGAGGGTTCACATGGGACAGTTAGTGGGTGACACACTAATGTGGACTAAAATTTATGCCCCTCTGATGCCAACTAAAGAACTGCATAGACAAGCCCAAGTGTCAAACTATATCTTCTGACAGTAATGTGTAAGTCAGTAGCTTTTGAATTATTAATCACATGATAAAAAAAATTGACTTAAGTTTGGTATCTTTGGAGTGCATTGTATTAAATTAAAAGATTATGCATTATTGTGGGACTGGATGTTCGAAGGACTATATTGAACAATATGGCAGACTATACGGCAGACTTTTGGGACAATATACGTGATGTGGATTTCCTGGGAAATATCCAAGGGGAGGTGAATGCAAATCCCTTCCCCTTGGTTACCCAAAAACCATCTTTTGAAACTATGATCTCTCGAGGTCCCTTCCAGTTCTAGTGTTCTATGATTCTATGCACTGAGGTGGGAACCACTATCTGCTGATTACCTGCTCCCAAAGGTTAGTGATATAAGGCCCAAGAAACTGGCTTATCTATTCAGTCTATGTGCTTGTTCTGAGCTGAGCTTTTATAAACTTGTAACCACAGCAAAGCCTGACTCCTGCCAAAGCTCTACTGGAGGTTGTGATGGGGGTGATTTTTGGTCAGCATACTAACATTATTGTACAGATGTTTTTTCTGTAATGCTTTTGATTTAAGAATAAATGTGCTTGCTTAGGAAGAGCTCTGTGGTAACTCATAACTGCTGGCAATTACTTTGTTCATAGTCTCTGTAGAATGTGCAAAGCACAGACCCTGGCCAAGTAAGGCACTCTGGCTTGCCTGGAATAACAGTGTGTAGGTAGGGAATTGTGCAGTAGGTCAGGAGGTAGGGATATTCAGGTTTCCACACAACAGAGGTAATGACTGAGGAATCAGAAGATGGGAATAGGTGCCCTTGTTGGACCATAAGAGGTAAATACTGATGCATATGCCCAGAACTGTGACATGTTGTTTTGAAAAGACAGTCATTATTGCCCTTTATTGAGTGTGTTTAAGTTGTAAGGTGATCATAAACCAGGCATTAAACATAAGGAAGCAATAACAGTTTTGTTACTCGGTGTTAATTGGTTCATATCACAGTCCTCCTTTGTTGGTCTTTGAGGAAATACTGAATAGTAAATAGTAGTACACAAACTGCCAAAAGGGTCCACTGAGCTAGTTCTGACAGTAGCCAATACCAGCACCTTTAGAAGATATTATAATATGTACAAAGGACAATTATGGAGTGGCCTGAAGATGAGGACGTTTCTTCTTAATCCTCTCATTAAGCCCTGAAACCTGAGAATTGATTTCCCTTCCAAACTTTGAATTTTTTAAATATCCCAGCTAACACAACTGGACACTCATTATCCATGCAATTGTCTAATTCCTTTTGGAATCCTGCTAAGCACTCTGTATGGTTGATAAAGACAACTTTAGAGGAAGTCCTAAATTCTTGTACTGTGTAGTTTTGCTAAACATGACAGGCAGAGAAAGAAACAGCATGTGAAATCCTGACACCACTGAAGTCAATGGCAAAAACTCTGACAACAACAGGGTGAAGGTTTCCCCGTATTTTGCATATAATGTAACAGAAAATCTCTGGAAGCTGAGAACTTCTGTGTTGCCACCAAGGGCTACATCTTCAACAATGTCTGCAAAAAAGTGCACAAGTGCCACGATTCCATACACAACTGGATATTTGACACTTTAGTACATGTGCAGTTATCCAATTATCCAGTGAACTCTCCCCACTGCCCCACTTGCAGACTCCAATAGCTTAAGCCCCAGCCAGAGCTTGAATGTTGACACAGCAAATAAACAACCCCTTAGCCTGAGCCTGGAGTCAGCTAGTATGGGCCAGCCTGGGTTTTTAACTATAGTGTAAACATACCCACTATGATTTAGGTTGCAGTAGTGCCCACAAGCCTGGTGCTACTGTGTTAGGCACTATAAAAACAGAACAAAACCCAAAAAGTTTACAAGTTACAGAACTGTCTTTAAGAGGTTAGTACTAACTCTGCAATGGTCAGATGAATACTTTGCACTTTGACAGTCCTGGTTAGCTGAGGATCCCTAAGTACTTTACAAAGGCAAGTAGATCTTACCCCAGTTCTATAGATGGGGGAAGTGACTTGTGTAAGGTCACACAGTAGCTCAATAGCAGAGTCAGGAAAAGAATACAGAATCCCCTTCCCCTCTTCTCCCCTACTGTTCCTGGCCCTGAACATAAGACAATGCTGCCCTCTTTCAGTGGATTTCATATTTACATTTAATATACCATTATTTTTTGATACATTGCTAACTAGCACTGAGATTTCCTGAGACTATTCCTGTGTCCTATCTCAAGATAACATTTATTTTTATTCTCCTGTCATACTGTACCTTCTCCTCAGGACTGGAATCTTTACTGTCTAATGGAACTCCTTCAGTCTTAGTCATGCGAAATGGTGTTTGTTCCTGTCTGAATCAATGAACATGCTAAGATTTTGTAGCAAAAATGTATATTTCAGTATTGGTTATAAGACTATAAGTATGATGCATAACGATTTGATGTATAATGACTTGCTTATAAGTTCTGTATGCTTCTATTTCACCCTGTCTCTCATGATTAGATAATGTTTACTGTAAGATCTTGCTTCCTGTTAGCATTACAAATTAAATTGTAACTCATGTCTGCATTGTAACCTGAAGATGTGTCTACACTACACTGTTATTTCGA